GCTGGAGAACGTACATGGATTGTAAAACGTCACCACGTTCAGAATGGTCTTGTCACCTACTGTACAAGCACAATGCGAAGAATGCGGTTAGGTAAGGTTATGCACTTTACAAAAAGCGTTGTCAACGTTTTCATCTGTTTGGGAAAGTTATGAAGCGATTACGGAGATTTCACGTCCTTGAGCCAGTTTGTCACGTGGTCCGGCTTTCCCCCCAGGTTGCCTAGGAACGTTTATTGGCACCAGATCGCATGAGACAAGTACTGTAGCGACGAGTCGCGCAAGGTGAAAAGGTTGAGAAAGAGGGTGTAAACAGAACACACATGAAATGCAAAAACACCGCACTTCACCCCACTCGTTTGGTAGTGAAGAACGAGTGGCAGATGTCCATTTCCCCCCAAAACCTGTGTTACCGTCGAACATTACAATTACGAAGCTCTGAAATCAATCACACCGTACTCAACCTCATTTAAATGAATTCGTGTTGTGGCCATTTCTGGGTGCAAAAGCACATTCCTTGGAAAGTAGGATAGATACGCAACAGGTTCCTTCCCTTCCCTTCCCTCGTATGCCTCTCTCCTCCACTCCATTTTCGTAGTTGCCTGCACCACACACTTTCGTCTCCATCTCCTCCAGGTTCCTTACCTCCCTAATATGTACAGTGCACATTGTGCACAGTACAGTAGTCCTTTTCTCGGGCTTGTGGTTGCCTTCACTCACTTCACACTCATCCTTCACTGGCCCAGAGAGGAAGTCTCCACTCTTTCACGTTCATTCCACGGTTTTTTAGGGTCTGCGTGGACTATGGCCTACTGAACAGTGTGGACCTAACAGATCCTAACCAGCTGGCGATTTCATTACAGAACGGAAATCTACTGATCAGTTTAACTGTGCTTCTGTCGTAACCAACCACCCTAATTAATGGCACTTAATATGACAGGCGATGCATTGTCCGCTCTCCTCAACGGACCACGTTCAACGGTCGTATTGATGGTTCAATAGTAATTTCAACCACGTCAGTAGTACCACCGTATTTTCCGCTCGAAGTTGCTCCCGTAGCAGCGCCGGCTTCCTCGCCTGAACAGTTCATACTTGTTTGTCAAGACCGAGGAATTGGGACAAATATTATAAATAGTATCCAATGTTATTCGATCCGCCATGCTAGATCTCAAGCAAGCCCCCGCGCTTCGGCCGTCTTTCCCGACCTAAGCTCCGGTTGTCAAAGAGTTTCATCTAACACCACTTGTAAAACGATTAGATCGAAGGGCCATGCATGTGGGCCATCCGTTTCTCCTCCTCTCCCTCCCACGCCTGTGTGGTGAAAAACCGTTCACTTATTTTGTTCACACTTCCGTCCGGCTACATTTGACATCTGACTCCACCTTGCATGATTTAACGGTGAGGAAAACCCTTCGCGTCTTGGCTATGTTCTAGAGTTGCTGATGAGAGCAGCATTCCCAATAGTACGTCTACTAGTACAGTACAGTGCTACAGAGGGACGGCACTCCGCAAATGTTGCGGCCTTTGATGTGATAATGCTGGTTTGGAGAACCTGGTTATCAGGCCAGCAACAATCGTTTGACGAGATCGGCTGCTTCACTGACTGAGAGTATTAGAGTCCGCAGCGAGAGTATTTGTGCAGAGTATTTTCTGCAAAAACAGAACTCAGCGCGAGAGGAGTCTGGACACACAGACTTCGTGATCTGCAAAGACAGTACGATCCGAGTCTACGTTTTCATCACACCAGTTTTAGTCGGCGACGGTTTCGAGCTGATATAAGAATTAAGCTTAAAAAATGCTGGCGACAGCTCGTTACCCGGCTTTCAGCTCCAATATCTCTGACCTTCCAGGGACGGACCTTTCAGGCTCGGAACTCGGGACTTCAGAAGCAGAGAGTGATTTTCCTGCATGGAATGGTAGAACGAGTCAACCCTTCAGCCCGTGGTGGCGGTACCGTCTTTCTGGTAGCAACCAAGCCTCGTCTGACTGGGTTGGTGATCCGCCTTCAAACTTCCTGGAAGCAGTAGCTGCTGCTACTCAGAAATCAAGCTCCGGTTCAGAATCTGATTCTGATTCTGTTTCCGATTCGGCATCTGACGCTAATCCCGATGGTTCACATTGCCGCAGCAGCGACCTCACCACCACCGCTGCCAAGCCTCCCTCTTCTAAGGTGCCTTCCCAGCTTTTGGGAGGAGTCAACAGGAGGTGGTCCCTTGGAGGGGGCACCAGCAGCGGCGGAGGAGGGGGAGGAGGCGGTGGTATGGTAACAGATAATCTGGATATGCTGTGCCTTCAGAGTAAGCTGAGCCTGCTGGAGTCCCAGCGCGAGCAGAACGCAGTGAGATGCCAGCAGTTTGTTAACATGCTGCGGTTCGCAGCAGAACAGGCCGGGGAGGAGATGATTGCGGAGGATGCTAGCAAAGGAGACGTTGCGGGGAAGAAGGAGAGGGCTCTGTTGCCTGTTGACGGATTGGCTTTGGGTGGTCGGCGGCGGTTGAATCGTCGCCGGTCGACTTCGGATCTGTTGGAGGCGAGAAGGCGCGCTTGCGCTGCTGACTTGGTTGCTGGCCGAGTTGACCGAATTGGCCTACCTGGTAGCCGTGCTGCTCGAAATCGCATCGACCGCGCGTCACATGAGCCGAAAGGGTCCGACAACTCCTCAGTCTCCTCCGAAGCACCTGAGAGATCACCTGAAGAATCACCTGATGGGAGTGATGACTTAACGACACGTGGCGCTTCAGGTGGAGTCTGCTCTCGTTCCTGGACGACGGGCAGGTTAAGTCAAGCTTCACTCTCTGCCATGCTTCACCAGCACTTGGCTAGCAACCCCATGGAGCGGAAGCTTCGTCGCGGGAGAACCCATGATGGGAGGAGCCATGTGGAGAGGAACCATGGTGCGAGGAGTCATGACAGGAGGCCTGGACGCAGCTTCAGCCACTGTGCTTCGTCATCGCAGCCCCACTTCTTGCAGCGCGGACAAAGCTCAAGTCCTTCTCTGGCGAATTTTCCCGGATCACCTCTGGCCAGTTTGGGTTCAAGCCCGTCTTTTGAGGCGCCTCAAAAGTCGCAGCCCCGCTTCTTGCAGCGCAGGCAGAACTCAAGCCCGTCTCTGGCGAATCTCAACTCGTCACCTCTGGCCAGTTTGGGCTCAAGCCCATCGCTGGCGAATTTCACCGGATCACCTCTGGCCAGGCCAAGTTCAAGCCTGTCGTTGGCGAATCTGAACGCACCCTCGGCCAGTTTGGGCTCAAGCCCTTCTCATGCCAATCTGAGCCTGAGCCTGTCCCTGTCAAATTTGAATTCCTCTTTGTCCGGTTTCAGTCTGAGCCCCTCTCTGACGAACATGGAGGCTGTGGAGAGCAGTGACGAGGAGGAGATTAATGATGCGAGGTTGTTGGGGCGGAGCCGAAGCAGCAGTGTCAGGCGCAGCAGAAGCAACACCAGGAGCAGCAGCAGCATCATCAGAGCTCATTCTTCTTTGAGACTGGGATCGAATACTGAGCTGCAGCATTCTGTTTCCAGCCATGCTGAGCTGGCGGATCATCAGCGTTCAATCAGAAGCTCGCCACTGCCACTGGACACGGACAGTTCCTTGGCTGCTGATCGAAGCATTCGACGAATTCCCTCGTATGGCCTCTGTCTCCCACCCTTGGATTCCCGGCGTCAGGTGTTGGAATCACGATGCCCCTCGAGCCCTATACGGTCGCTCACGTATCCGAAAGAGCATCGGGATGCGGTACGTCGAGGCATGAGAAGTTACCAAGGAAGAACCGCCCAGACTTATCCGGTACATACGAGCATGGGTGTGGGTGGCCAAGGTGATGTGTTTGATCAGCTGCATGATGACCCATGATGTGTCACGACTCACGAGAGTCATCCTGGTTCGCCTGGTTCATACTGTACAACGGCATGTACTAGGCTTTTCTTAGGTGCCTTTTTATCCTAATGCAGGGCAATGCTGCGAATGATAGCAGTTAAGTATGTAGCAGACCACTTGATGTATTGAGTATGTAGGCATGCAATTTATCTGTAGAACAAATTAAAAAGTTAGATATACAGAGCAGCTCGAATAGTTGGGAGCTAAAGCTTCGCATCTGTACCAAACCGCGTCACGCATATACTAGTGCCAATTGTTCCAAGCTTTGGTATGCCTGCTTGATTCTCGAGTGGCGACCACTGCTCTGCGAGTCCGAAATAATGATCCAGCCAATCGCAGGAGGTCTTCCAGGCTTTCGGGGGCTTATTGATTGGCTGAACTCGCCAGCCCCTCGAGACACTCGTTCCAAAAACTCTCAGATTCTCGAGGGCGTGTTTCTTCAGAAACCGGTCTCTGCGATTCATTTGTCTGCTTGTGATTCTGAACCAGTCTCACGTCGAGTCTCATAAGTCGTCTCACGTCAGTGCTCTCGCCACTCGAGATGACCCTTTGTACTTGTTCTTTCCTTACGAAGACGGAGTGGGTTGCAAAATCAGCAGAAACTACAACACCAGCTTTCCCGCCAACTCACTGACCTGGCTTCCCATTCCCATTGTAGAGCTGAGAGTTGTGAGCCACAACAGCACAAATCCAGTTTCCTCCTCAGTAGGCGAGCATTGTACTGTGAATCGACCATTCTAATTAGGGTAGTGAAGTAGTTAGCGTATGGGACGCCAAACTGGTATCTCCAGCTGGTTGATCCTCTTGCGCAGTATCTCACATTCCTTCTTCGCGTTTACCCCGTAACTTTCTTACAGTATTAGTGTTCGCCTGCTGCTACAAGCGTTTCGCTACTGTCTTTTCGGCTGGTAGTTTGTTCTCCTGAACCTCAACTTCGGCGTCGTGCTTTCACTTCTCCCACTTGATGCCGTAAATCATCGCGAAAACTCAAAATGGTACGAGCAAGCTGAAGGTGTGATCGGTGAGAATGTCAGAAGGACGAGGCATTACCAATGCTAGTCCAGAGAAGCTCTTCCACGTTTCCGTGTTGTTTTTCTGAGGATTCTGCATATATCACGTTTCAGGAATGTTTGACCTAGATGGAGCTCTCGAGGTCTTGATTACGGATTCGTCGCGATCTCTCGGCGGTTGTCTATGGAAATCAGGCGACTGGGCGATCTAAAGTGTCTCCGTTATTAGCGTCTCCGCATCTACGACAGGAATGTCTCTCTGAGGGCTACAGCAGTGCATATGATATCTGAATTCGGATTTGATGCGCTCCTAGATTGGAAATGTTTCTCAGAAGTCAACAGCTGAAATTTTAATTCCGGCATTTTTCGCACCAATCCAACATTTTCCAGTATTTTAATGGCTGTATGCGCAAGACGAACATTGCGCACCTGATCTGATTTCAACTTTAATGTATTGAAAATGTAGACTTGAGGTAGCTGCGAGGATTGGTATGCGCCATAAAGGAACGCTGCGCCAGCGAGTTTGGGAGACGGAGACGGAAGAGAAGATATAGCCTTCGATTTCCCTCCCGTTTCCCACACTCGCTGACGCCCCTTGTTTTCCAATCAATTCCCTTCTCCTTCCCGTCATACTCTATTCTCTCAACCCTCCCCCTCCCATCCCTCCTCTCTCGCACGCATACACCCACTCCGTTCACTCACCTTTCTCTCCCCGTCTCTCTTAATCTTTCACCCTCCTGTCTCTTTCATCCTCTTCCCACACCCCCTTTCCCACCCCCCTTCCCCCCCCCCCTTACCCCCTACCTCCTTCCTTTCTCCCACCCTCCCTACTTCCCTCTCGCATTTCTTACCGGACCAGGGGGAAGATACACAGCGCCAGAGGACACGTTGCTAGGATACTGTGAGTCAACTCTTAAGAATCCGCTCCCTCGGTTCCCCCACTTTGTTCAATTCCCTCTTTCAATTCTTTCCCGGCCAGGGGGAAGAGACATCACCAGAGGACACGCCAGCAGGAGCGGAGGCAGCGCGCTTCGTGGTGGGGTCCAAGATATGGGTGGCGCATGAGAAGGCGGCGTTTGCTGCAGCTGAAGTCACGGCGGTGCAGGACAATGGGGAGACCGTTGAGGCCATTCTCGTGGATCCCAAGGGGGACGACAAGGTGGGTAAATCACCCTGGAAAATATTGTGGGGGGAGGGTCCAAGATATGGGTGGCGCATGAGAAGGCGGCGTTTGCTGCAGCTGAAGTCACGGCGGTGCAGGACAATGGGGAGACCGTTGAGGCCATTCTCGTGGATCCCAAGGGGGACGACAAGGTGGGTAAATCACCCTGGAAAATATTGTGGGGGGAGGGTCCAAGTGGCGCATGAGAAGGCGGCGTTTGCTGCAGCTGAAGTCACGGCGGTGCAGGACAATGGGGAGACCGTTGAGGCCATTCTCGTGGATCCCAAGGGGGACGACAAGGTGGGTAAATCACCCTGGAAAATATTGTGGGGGGAGGGTCCAAGATATGGGTGGCGCATGAGAAGGCGGCGTTTGCTGCAGCTGAAGTCACGGTGGTGCAGGACAATCGGGAGACTGTGGAGGCAATTCTCGTGGATCCCAAGGGGGATGATAAGGTGGGTAAATTATCCTATAAAATCTTGTATTGGGGTCCAGGATATGGGTGGCGCATGAGAAGGCGGCGTTTGCTGCAGCTGAGGTCATGGCGGTGGGGAGACTGTTGAGGCCATTCTTGTGGATCCCAAGGGGGGCGGCAAGGTGGTTAAATTACCCTGGAAAAATATGTTGTGGGTGGGATCCAAAATATGGGTGGCTCGTGAGAGAGGAGCGATTGCTCACTGAAAGCACATGTCCTTCACGCCGCGATTGCCCATTCTCTCACCCCCACGCCTCTCTGCAGGGAGGAGGACGAGGAGAAGGACCCCAAGGACGGACGACAGGGGAGGCTGGTAGTAGTACCACGTGCACCAGTGTAACCGCATCGCATTGCCCTCCCAACCCCACGCCTCTCGGCAGGTGCTCGTCCCCGCTAGGGAGTGCTTCCCCAGGGAGGAGGACGAGGAGAAGGATCCCAAGGACGGACGACAGGGGAGGCTGGTAGTGCCACCTGCACGAGCCCGGCGTGCTCTGATGTGATGTGAGGTGCCTCACTAACCCACACAAGTCGCACATAACCCCCACCTTCGCCCTGGCCCTTTCTACAGGTGCTTCTTTCCTCGCGGGAGTGCTTCCCCAGGGAGGAGGACGAGGAGAAGGACCCCAAGGACGGACGACAGGGGAGGCTGGTAGTGCCACCTGCACGAGTGTGCCACTTGCACGAGTGTATTCGCTTCGCATCCCTGTTCCCTCATCCCCATCCCATGCCCCAGGTGCGTATCCCCGCTAGGGAGTGCTTCCCCAGGGAGGAGGACCCCAAAGACGACATGGTCAAGCTGGACCACCTGCACGAGCCGGGCGTGCTCGGATGTGATGTGAGGTGCCTCAATACCCCACACAAGTCACACATAACCCCCACCTTCGCCCTGGCCCTTTCTGCAGGTGCTCATCCCGGCCAGAGAATGCTTCCCCAGGAAGGAGGACGAGGAGAAGGACCCCAAGGACGGACGACAGGGGAGGCTGGACCACCTGCACGAGCCGGGCGTGCTCGGATGTGATGTGAGGTGCCTCAATACCCCACACAAGTCACACATAACCCCCACCTTCGCCCTGGCCCTTTCTGCAGGTGCTCATCCCGGCCAGAGAATGCTTCCCCAGGAAGGAGGACGAGGAGAAGGACCCCAAGGACGGACGACAGGGGAGGCTGGACCACCTGCACGAGCCTGGCGTTGTGATGGGATGTAATGGGATGTGATCTGATGTGTGGTTCCTCAAGACCCCAAACGACTCACAAATGGTTTCTACCTTCACCCACACCCGTTTGGCAGGTGCTCATCCCCGCTAGGGAGTGCTTCCCTAGAGAGGAGGACGAGGAGAAGGACCCCAAGGACGACATGGTGAAGCTGGACCACCTGCACGAGCCTGGTGTGCTCAGATGTGTGATGGCGATGTTGATTGAGGTCATGGTGCCTCAATACCCCACACAACTCACACACGGCTCCTGCCTTGCCCTGCTGGCCCTTTCTCCAGGTGCTTATCCCCGCGCGGGAGTGCTTTCCTAGAGAGGAGGACGAGGAGAAGGATCCCAAGGATGACATGGTGAAGCTGGACCACCTGCACGAGCCGGGCGTGCTGCACAACCTCAAGCGGCGATACGTGCGCAACGCAATTTATGTGAGTGGCGCTTGCTCTCAAGCCTGGTGCTTTCAAAAGCTGGTGCCCCTATAGATGCACCACCCACCTGCACGAGCCTGGTGTGCTGCACAACCTGAAGCGCCGCTCTACGTGCGCAATGCAATTTATGTGAGTGCTGCTTGATTCCAAGGTGGTCATCGTCGTGCTTTCACAAGCTGGCGTGCCTCAATAGCTGGACCACCTGCACGAGCCCGGTGTGCTGCACAACCTCAAGCGGCGCTACGTGCGCAACGCCACCTACGTGAGTGGTAGTGCTTGAATTCAAGGTAATTGTGTGTTCATAATATGGTGTGAGGGGTCTTTAGGGCTGCACCACTCTCATGGATCCTTTCCCCATTCTCTTTAATCCTCTGTCTACCATTTCCATACCAACCCGACTCCCCTTCCCTCCTTACCCCAAATCCTCCATGCGAACTTACCCAGGACCCATTTTCATCGCAGTCAACCCCTTCACATACCTGCCAGGCCTCTACCACCCACATCTCAAAGGCCATCTCATCCCATTCCCTTTCCCCATCCTCTTCAATCCTTTGTCTATCCTTTCCATTCTCCCAACCGTTTCCTACCCCTGCAGACGTACACAGGCACCATTCTCATCGCAGTCAACCCCTTCATATACCTGCCAGGCCTGTACCACCCACAGCTTAAGAGCCAGTACCGGAACGTACCACTGGGACAGCTCAGCCCACACGTATTCGCCATTGCAGACCATGCCTACAGGTATGTGTGTCTATGGTGAGTGGGTTGCGTGCACTTGTATGTATCCTTATACCCTAACCGAACCGCCTCACCCCCCCTTGCTGTTTCCTTCCCCTCCATCCCCTCACTCACTCCATCCCTTTCATCCAACCACACTCCCACGCGCTCCTTCCCATGCTCACACACACTCGCACTCCTACACATGCACACTCTCTCACTCACGCCCCAACACAATTTTCGCACACAGGTCCATGAGGGAGGCGGGGCGCAGCCAGTCTGTTTTAATCAGTGGGGAGAGTGGTGCCGGCAAGACAGAGACCACCAAGCTCGTAATGGAGTACCTGGCGGGGGCAGGGGTGGCGGATAAGGCTGCTGCTGCTGCTGCTGGGGCTGCAGGGGCCGTGGGCATGGGGGGCGGGAGGAGAGGGAGGCGGGGAGGAGTGGAAGCAGTGGTGTCTGCTGAATCGACTCAGTGTGTTGAGAGAGTGCTGCAGGTGAGTGGGGTGGGGTGGGTTTGGAGCGGGTGTGGGGTTGAGTGTTGGAGGTGAGTGGGGTGGGTGTGGAGAGAGGAAGCGCCTGGCAGGGGCAGGGGCCGCGGATGAGTGGGGTGGGTGTGTGTGCTTAGAGCGAGTGTAGGGGTGAGTAGTGTGTGTGCGTGCAACGGGTGCTGAAGCTGACAGGCGTGGGCGTGGAGAGAAGAAGCTGACAGGCGTGGGCGTGGAGAGAGGAAGCTGACAGGCGTGGGCGTGGAGAGAGGAAGCTGACAGGCGTGGGCGTGGAGAGAGGAAGCTGACAGGCGTGGGCGTGGAGAGAGGAAGCTGACAGGCGTGGGCGTGGCGAGAGGAAGCGCCTGGCAGGGGCAGGGGCTGCGAATAAGGCTGCGGTTGCCGCTGGGGGGATTTGAAATGACCAAGGCTGAGAAGGAATGGACACTCCTCCCTTCGTATTCTTTCCATTGTAGCTCAGCTCAGCCACTTCCCAGTCTCGCCCACTCGAATTTTGAGACGTCTCAAGGCTTAGAAGGGATGGGCACACTCCTCTTCCTTCCTATTCTTTCCGTTGCAGCTCAGTCACTTCCCAGTCTCGCCCACTCGAACACACCCACCCCCCCTGCTTCCTTCCTTTCCCGCCTGCCCTCCCCATCCTCCTCTGCTGCTCGTCTCCTTCCTTCCCTCACCCCCCTCCCCACTCACCCCCGCTTTCCCCCAGCAACCCCCCTCCCACCACATCTCCCCTCTCCCCCTCATGCCCCACTCCCTCATCACCCCTTCCCTCCCAATCCCCCTTTCCCCCCCCCTCCCCCATCATCCCCCAACCCCCTCTCAGTCGAACCAAGTCCAGAGATGTTTGGGAACGCCAAGACAGTGCGCAACATCAACTCATCCCCCTCTCCCATCATCTGCGCAACATCAACTCATTCCCCCTCCCCCACCCCCTCTCTCTCCCTTCTCTTCCCAGTCGAACCAAGTCCTGGAGACGTTTGGGAACGCTAAGACAGTGCGCAATAACAACTCGAGGTGAGACAGTTGCGTATCTTGGCAGGGGTGATTGACAGGGGTGCCAGGGGTGATTGACAGGGGTGCCAGGGGTGATTGACAGACAGTGTCGAAGGGTGCCAGGGGTGGTTGACAGCACTCCTTCTGAAGCTTCTTAGACAGCCCCGACACATTCTTCCCTTCCCACTCCCTGTGCTCTGCCTATTCTCCACAACCCCCCCACCCCGCCTCCCCCCCAGTCGTTTTGACCAGTTCATTGAGAGTCACTTTGACAGTGGCGGCAGGGTGACAGGAGCAGCCATCCAATCCAACAGATCCCTTGTGGAAGCACCTTAGACCAACGCTGACACACCCTTCCCTTTCCACTCCTTCTGCTCTGCCCATTCTTCCTCTCCCCCCCCACCCCTCCCTCCTCCTCTCCCCCACCCCCTCCCCCCCGCCCCCTCCCCCACCTCCTCCCCCCCCCCTCCCCCCCCCCCCCCCCCCCCCCCCCCTCCTGCCCCAGTCGTTTTGGCAAGTTCATTAAGATTCACTTAGACAGCGATGGGAGGGTGACGGGCATATTTTTGAGTCGACTTGAAAAACAGCGACAGCAGGGTGACAGGAGCAGGTGACCATTCGCTGAAACCCCTGCTGCTGACGCACCTTAAACCAGCCCTGTCACCAGACCATTCGGTGAAACCCCCGCTGCTCACCTGCTTGGGAGGGTGACGGGCTGATGCACCTTAAACCAGCCCTGTCACACGCCTCTCCTCCCACACCCTCTGCTTCTTTTCATCCCCCCCCCCTCTCCCCTCAGTCGCTTTGGCAAGTTCATTGAGATTCACTTCGACAGCGACGGCAGGGTGACAGGATGACATGACAGGTTACCCTGATACAACCGTCCCCTCCCACCCCCTCTGCTCTGCCCATTCTCCCTTCTGCCTCTGCCCATTCTCCATTCTGCCTCTGCCCATTCATTCCTTTTGCCCCAGTCGCTTCGGCAAGTTCATTGAGATTCACTTTGACCCCAACGGCAGGGTGACAGGGGCACCCATTCGATCGCTAAAGCCCCTGCTGACGCACCCTTCCCTGCACATGCTCTCTGCCTCTGCTCCTGCCTCTGCCCATTCATTCCTTCCCCCCCCAGTCGACGGCTGGGTGACAGGGGCAGCCATTCTCCACGCCCTGCGCTCTGCCCATTCTCCATTCTCCCCCCCCCAACCACCCCTCTCCCATCCACCCCTCTCCCTCCGAGTCGTTTTGGCAAGTTCATTGAGATTCACTTTGACAGCGACGGCAGGGTGACAGGAGCAGCCATTCTCCACGCCCTGTGCTCTGCCCATTCTCAACCCCTTCCCCCTCACCCTCTTCCCCCCGTCCCCCTCCCACCCAGTCGCTTTGGCAAGTTCATTGAGATTCACTTTGATAGCGATGGCAGGGTGACAGGGGCAGCTATTAGATCGTACCTGCTGGAGCGGTCCAGAGTGGTGCAGATCAATAGCCCTGAGCGCTCCTACCATTGTTTCTACCAGCTGCTCTATGGGGCCACGCCCGAGGTGAGAGATTGAGGAAATGAGTGATAGAGTGAGTGTGGGGGTGAGCGAGAAAGTGAGAGAGGGAGAGTGTGATGATGTGTCTGTGCATTTCAGCCACCCAGCCATAGGAAGAGTGAGTGAGCGAGTGAGAGAGGGAGTGAGTGAGGGAGTGAGGGGGGGAGTGACGGAGTGTCGGTGATGTGCATGTGACATGTTTCACGAGCTGAGATGAACATGTTGTGATTAAGCCTTCGATCGAGCTGAGCCAAACGAGATGTGCACTTGATGCCTTTTTCAGTTGACTCAAAAGATGTGTATGCGGCATGTGGCATGTGTTAGAATTTATATATTATAGCATGCGAACACTCCTGACTGTACACCAAGAGTGGTGTACAGTTGGGTTGGTTCAGGCTCTAGTTTTGGGTGTATTGCAGGTAGACACCCTAATTGGGGTGAACCCAAATATCCTAGCTTAGACTTGGCTCCAACCTTGTTGGCCAAATGGGGCAACCAACTTTGGTTGGTTGGCCACCACCCCACTAGGGTTGGTTGGATGGTCCTTCCTCCCACTAGCCTACTTGGTCTTGGTGTCTTATGTGCTAGGTTTGGTGTTCTTCTCCAAACTTCTCTCCCTTGTATAACCTTGTGCTCTCTTGAGCTAATATCATCCATTCTTCCTCAAGTTTCTACAGCTTCTAGTTTCTTTCATGGTATTCAGAGCCTAAGGCAAACGCCACTAGATCCTAGACCTTCACTTTTTTTTCCTATCTTCCCTTATACACTCCAGCAGCTAAGAGAAGTCGCGACCTTTCTTAGCAACCTAACCGTGCTTCCCCTACTCTTCGCGCCACTCTGCTAGCATCCGTGCGGGCCCTCCTGCTCGTCGCATCACCTCTGCTAAACGGCCGCGCAGGCCACGTGGACCCCTCTGCCCGTCGCGCCATCACTATTAGCAGTCGCGCGGACCCCTTTGACCGTGGCGAAATCACTGCTAGCAGTCGCGCGGGTCAATTTCACCGTCGCGAAGTCCCTGCCAGCAGTCGCGCGGGTCAATCTCACCGTCGCGAAGTCCCTGCCAGCAGTCGCGCGGGTCAATTTCACCGTCGCGAAGTCCCTGCCAGCAGTCGCGCGGGTCAATTCCACCGTCGCGAAGTCCCTGCCAGCAGTCGCGCGGGTCAATTTCACTGTCGCGAAGTCCCTGCCAGCAGTCGCGCGGGTCAATTTCACCGTCGCGAAGTCCCTGCCAGCAGTCGCGCGGATCGTTTTCACCGTTGCGAATCCTCTGCTAGCGGTCGCATTGCTTCATTTGACCGTCACGGCACCTCTGCCAGCAGCTGCGGAGGCCCTTCTGCCCGCCGCGTCACCCCTCCTCCCAGTCGCACGGGCCCCTCTAAGCGTCACGCCACCCCTGCCGGCAGCCACGCGAGCCTCCCTGCCCATCGTGCTACCTCCTCCAGCACCCACCTGAGCCCTGCAGAGCAACTGCGCGGCCCTCCCCGCGTTTCACGCAGATCCCTACACAGCAGCGGGACTCAACAGCAGCAGCAGCGTGACTGGACAGCAGCAGCAGCGTGACTGGACAGCAGCAGCAGCGTGACTGGACAGCAGCAGCAGCGTGACGCGTGGCTGGACAGCAGCAGCAGCAGGTCTGGACAGCAGCAGCAGCGTGACTGGACAGCAGCAGCAGCGTGACTGGACAGCAGCAGCAGCGTGACTGGACAGCAGCAGCAGCGTGACTGGGCAGCAGCAGCAGCAGGTCTGGACAGCAACAGCAGCAGGACTGGACAGCAGCAGTAGCAGGACTGGACAGCAGCGGCAGCAGCAGGACTGGACAGCAGCAGCAGCAGCACTGGACAGCAGCAGCGGCAGCATTGGGCAGCAGCAACAGCGTGACTGGGCAGCAGCAGCAGCAGAGCTGAACGGTGGCAGCAGCACTCATGGCGACTGACTCCGTGCCTATTGATACTGGCTCCATTGTTCGCCTGGAAGTCCAGGATGGCACTACTGCACTGAATTGGCACCGTTTCTCACAGAGCCTCACCGGTGTCCTCCGCTCCACCATTATTGGCGGTGTCAACCTCCATTCCGTTGTCTTTGCCGAACTGGATGGCCTTGAGCCCAAGCCACCTCCCCTCCTTGGTCTTGAACCTCCTCCTCCACCACCCCATCCTGGCGAAGCACCTCGCCCGCCCGATCTCCCTCGCCTCGTTTCTGACAACACCACCAATGCCTCACGCCTCACCACCTACGCGGAGGAGGTAGCGACACACACGCAACTGGTGGATACCCACAAGGCAGCCCTTGCTGCTCACACCTTGGCTGCTGCCCTTCATGCGAAGTACGTTGCCGATAAGACGTCTTACACCTCCCAACTGACTGATTTCAATACTCGCCATGCCACCTGGTGCCTTGCCGACACTCGGGCTATTGGCCTCATCAACTCCTGCATCCCGACCTCGCTCCAGAGCGAGCTTGACGCCACTTCCTCTGCAGTTCTTTGGCGCGCCCTCTGTGATCTGTATGACCGTCGGGACATCGCATCTCTTCATGCCCTCTACCGTGACTTCAACGCTATCACCCTTGACAACTGCACCGGCACAGCTGACTATACCCATCGCCTCAACAACACAGCTCGGCGTCTTCGGGAGCGTGGCGCCACTATTGACGACCCCCTCCTCATTTGGCGCATCCTCGAGGGACTCACCCCGGCTTATGAGATGCACCGCATCGCCTACGACATTGTTCTCTCTCCCCACGCCACGGCTGCCGAAGTCACCACATGGGTCCTTGATACTGAAGCCAAACTTACCCGCCAGTCCCCCTCCACCCTCAACTTCACACAGGGACGCGGAGGGCGTGGGGGGCGTGGTGGCAAGGGTCGTGGTGGAGGGAGTGGCGGGGGCGGTGGTGGTCGAGGTGGAGGGGCTAGCAGTGGCGCTACGGGTGGGACGTCGGGAGGTGACGGGGGTGCTGGTCGTGGTGGACGCTCAGGGGGTTTCCCTCCTTGCTCCTATGTCATTCGACAGGGCCCCAACAAGGGCCACCGCTGCAACCAAACCACCCATCCTACTGAAACCTGCTTCAAGGCCCTCAGTGATGAGTGGTTTGCTCGAGGCAATACAGGTACCCCTCCTCGCTGGGCCACTGTTACCCCTCGCCCCACTGTTCATGACGTTCGAACACTTCCCGCCTATCAGCCACCACCTTCTCAGCTCCACCAGACTCTGGCGAGTCACCTGCCTCCCCACCTCCTGCACCAGGTGCAAGTCTTTCTTCCCCCCCTTCCAGATCCACAGCCTCAACAGCAGCAGCAGCAACAGCAGCAGCAGCGGCAGCAGCAGCAGCAGCTGCACCAGATGCACCCGGGGTTCCAGGGCCTTCCGCCTATGCAGTAGCAGTACCTGGGGCCACAGCATCACCCGGGATTCCTGGGTCCCCCCCTCCTCCCTTATCCTCCCCAGCCACAGCAGCCCCTTCTCCAGCAACAGCCATACTCTGGCTACCCCTTTGCCCCCCCCAGTGTCTCTGACACTCAGGGCAGTTTCCTCGGTCATGTTACCGTTGCACCGTCTGTCGCTTCCATGTATCCCTCTGCTATTAATGAGACGCTTTTCCAGTACACCGTGTCACATCCCCCTCCTTCCTCCCCCACCTTGGACTTTGTCCTTGATAGTGGGGCCACAGAAACCGCACTGAAGGATGCTGGCACCCTCACTCCCCTTCCTCTTCCCACTCAGGTTCACGGTGCCGACACCAGTTTTTCCATCCCATGCACTCACCTCTCCACTCTACCTTGCTCCGCTTTCCCATCTGGTACAGTCACAGGTCTCCACATCCCCACCCTTCGCAACAACCTCCTCTCCCACCGTGAGATACAAGGCGCTGGTATTACCGCTATTTACCCTGGTAATGCTTCTTACTGTGATCTCTACAACACTGCTTCTGGTCGCTTCCTCCTACGCATTCCCCTTTGCCCTCGCACTCGCCTTTACACGCTCCGCACACCTCGTCCCTCCTCCTGTCAGGTCACCACTCGTGCTGGCACTTCCACCAGCCCCCCTCCCCCTCCCCCTAACCCTCCCCCCCCAGGTATCCTCCTCCCCTACGTCATCCCCCTCATCCTCCTCCCCCCTCTCCTTCCCCCACTCCATCCCCCTCCTCCTCTAATCACCTCTCCCACCCTGCTGTGCTCTTGCATCACAGGCTAGGCCACCCAAAATTCGCTGCACTTCGCACTGCCGTCACATCTCGCCTCCTCGACAGCCTCCCCCCCACTCTTTCTCAAACAGTCTTCCCATCACAGCCATCCCACTTTTGCAGCTGCTCCCCTTGACCTTGTTCACATGGACCTGTGGGGCCCTTATCCCATCCGCTCTCGCCAGGGGCACCGGTACATGCTCGTCCTCGTCGACGACCACAGTCGGTACTCTACTGTCTTCTTCCTTCACACGAAGGATCAAGTGCCGGCTGTGGTCATTGCCTGGGCTGAGCAGTGCCGCACACACTTCAAACGCCCCATCAGCCGCCTTCACTCTGATGGTGGGGGTGAGTTCCTCAATCATACCCTCTCCACTTACTGCAAAACCCGCGGCATTCAGCAGACCCACACCCTCCCCCATTCCCCTCAGCAGAACGGCATCGCTGAGAGTCGCATTCGTGAGATCACCAAGATTGCTCGTTGCCTTCTTGCTCACGCCTCCACCCCTCCTTCCCTCTGGAGCTATGCCCTCCTCCATGCTGCCCTCCTCCTTAATCTCCGCTCCCACCCTCAGCATTCCTCCTCCTCCCCCACAGAACTTTGGTCTAAGGCCAAGCCTGACGCTGCTGGCCTTCGCGTTTCGGGCTGCAAGGCGTTCGTCCTCATCCCTCCGGCTGATCGCTCCCGTGCTGCCGGCAAGCTCGCCTCGCGTGCCCTGGAGTGCGTCTACCTCGGGCACAATCGCGATTCCCCAGGCTACCTGTTCCTCCACCCTCCCTCCAGTCGCCTCATCCGCAGCATTGACGTCGTCTTCGACGAGTCCATTCCTTACTACTCCACTCCTCCTCCTGACCCTCTTCCCCCTCCCTCCCGCCCCCTAGTTTGGACTGATACCGTCCTCCCACCCCTCCTCCCTCCCGCACCCCTCCTTCCACCGGTCGCCGCTCCGCTCCCACCTTCCTCCTCTGCCGACATCTACGACCCTTCCGCACCCGCCTCTCCAGCGCATTCAGCTGCACCCCCTCCCCCCTCTCCCTCCTCCTCTCACTCTCCCCCTCAGCTGCAAGGGCAGCAGCCGCAGCAGCAGCAGCAGCACCAGGGCCAGCAGGGGCAGCAGCGGCAGCGGCAGTGGCAGCAGCAGCAGTCGGGGCAGCAGCAGCAGTCGGGGCAGCAGCAGCAGTCGGGGCAGCAGCTGCAGCAGCAGCAGCAGTCGGGGCAGCAGCTGCAGCAGCAGCCGGTGCAGCAGCAGCAGCGACACGCAACTTCCCGCTCCTCCCCTTTCCTCCTCCCTCGCATGCACACCCGCTCCCTGGACAAACTCATTGGAGCCCCTCCCCCCGCCTCCATTCAGCTCCTCGAGGACTCCCATGAGGAGTTCCTCACCATTCGGCGACACACATTTTTCCTTGCCTCCCTCTACCTTGACTTCCTCGGCTTTCCCGTCCTTGGCGCCACCTCCACTCCCACCATCTTCATTCCCACCACCTTCCAAGAGGCCATCACTTGCACTGACACGGACAAATGGATAGCGGCGATCTTCCTGGAGTGTGAGGCATTCATTCGCAACGACTCCTTCGTCGATGTCCCCCTCCCAGCCGACGCCAACCTCATCGAGGGCAAATGGGTCTTTTGGGTGAAGCAGCTGCCGGGTGAGGAGCCAGTCTACAAGGCACGCTACTGCGCCAAGGGTTTCACGCAGACTTGGGCCAAAGATTGCTGGTTCACCTTCGCCCCCACCGCCAAGCCGCCCACCCTTCGCACCCTCCTAGACATTGGTGCGCGGGCCAACATGGAGATCTGCTCCATGGACGTCTCCAACGCGTTCCTACAGGGTGACCTGCACGAGCGCATTTTCCTCCGGCGGCCCCCTGGTTTCCACGCATCCTTTCCTGAAAACACTGTGTGGCAGCTGCGTCGCCCTGTCTACGGTTTGAAACAGGCACCAAGGGAGTGGCATGCAAAGTTGTCTGCCACCTTGGGGTCCCTCGGCTTCTCTGCTTCGCACTCTGACGCCAGCCTCTTCATTCGCTCCTCCCCTCGCCGCTTCTTCATTCTGGTATATGTGGACGACATGATCCTGCTTTCTGACTCCAAGGCTGACATGGAGCAGATGAAGCTGTCGCTGCAGCAGCGTCTCAAATGCAAGGACTTGGGCGACCTCACGCACTACCTGGGCATGGCCATCACACGCAACCGCCCTGCTCGCACTATCACCCTCTCCCAGTCCCACTACATTGGCCAGGTCTTGGAGAAGTTCGAGATGGCGCAGGCCAAGCCCGTGTCCACCCCTCTACCTTTCGGTCACCAACTCGCCCCACCCACCTCTCCCTCCTCCTCCTCTCACCCTTATGCCGAGCTTGTTGGGTCGCTGATGTATGCCATGATGTGCACCCGTCCCGACCTTGCCTACCCCATCAGCGTGCTTGCGCGCTTCGTTGCACCGGCCGCCACACCACCGAGCACTGGCAGGCCGCTAAGCGGGTCCTCCGCTATCTCCGCGGGACCAAGGACCATGTCCTCACCCTTGGCGGCCCCTCCCCTCCTCTCCTCTCGGGCTTCAGCGACTCCTCCTGGGCTGACTCGCAGCCGGACCGCCGCTCCTCTCAGGGCTATGGCTTCACCCTTGGCAGCGGCCTTGTCAGTTGGCGTTCCACGCGTTCTTCTGCCATTGCTCTTTCCTCGTGCGAGGCTGAGCTCTACGCTGGCACCATGGCCGCTCAGGAGTCCCGCTGGCTCTGCTATCTTCTTGCTGAGCTGGGCGCTCCTCAGCGCTGCCCCACCCTCTGGTGTGACAACGCTAGCACCATTCATCTCACCCAGGACCCTGTCTACCACGCCCGCTCCAAGCACATCGAGTTGCGCTATTTCTTCATCCGCGAGCTCGTCCAGCAGGGACTCCTTGCCGTTCGGAAAATTACGGCTGCGGCAAACTTGGCTGACATCTTCACCAAAGCTCTCTCTCGCCCTGCGCACTCTGCCTTGCTCCGCCTCCTTGGCCTTGCTCGCCCAGGCGCCCCCTGATTCAGGGGTTGTTCTCTCCATGTGTTCGCATGCTAAGGGGTTGTGTTAGAATTTATATATTATAGCATGCGAACACTCCTGACTGTACACCAAGAGTGGTGTACAGTTGGGTTGGTTCAGGCTCTAGTTTTGGGTGTATTGCAGGTAGACACCCTAATTGGGGTGAACCCAAATATCCTAGCTTAGACTTGGCTCCAACCTTGTTGGCCAAATGGGGCAACCAACTTTGGTTGGTTGGCCACCACCCCACTAGGGTTGGTTGGATGGTCCTTCCTCCCACTAGCCTACTTGGTCTTGGTGTCTTATGTGCTAGGTTTGGTGTTCTTCTCCAAACTTCTCTCCCTTGTATAACCTTGTGCTCTCTTGAGCTAATATCATCCATTCTTCCTCAAGTTTCTACAGCTTCTAGTTTCTTTCAGCATGAGCTGAGGTGAGGTTGCTGGTGACTTTGGGCGAGCACAGGACTAGACGTGAGCGATGTATAACGCAACTTACCCACACAGCCGGAGAGCTTTTGACAGGGAGCTTTGAAGTGTACAGGACTAAACATGTGCACACACTTTCAAGAAGAACGAGCATAACTCTTTATGCTCCCCCTCTTTTGTCCACACTGCAGGAATCAGAAAAGTATTCTCTGCCCACAGAGGGCGAGCGGGCAGCAGATTTTTACTACTTGGCGCAGAGCGACTGCTACGAGCTGCCCGGAAAGAACAGCAACGCGATGGAGTATGAATCCACTTGCTCTGCCATGAACGTTATGGGGTTCGACCCACGCGAGCAGGTGAGTGACCGTGTAACCACGCTTACCTACACTCCCACTCGCTCTCACAATGGCACTCTAGTGCACTCGCCCTCTCATGTGCTCTGCCATGAACGTCATGGGGTTCGACCCGAGGGAGCAGGTGGGTGGGTATTGGCAGGAATGGACACGCGAACAGGTGGGCGGGTGTAGAAGTATGAATCCACGCGCTCTGCCATGAACGTCATGGGGTTCGACCCAAGCGAGCAGGTGAGCACAAGGGGGTGAGATTTGGAATGACCTGCATGAACAGGTGAGAACTAGGGGTGGGCAGGTGGTACTCAAAACACACGGGGGAGCCAGCGGTGAGTGCAAGAGGGTGAGTTTTGGGCAATGGGCATGGGGTGAGTGCAAGGGGGTGAGTTGTGGGCGATGGGCATGGGGTGTGGGCGATGGGCATGGGGTGTGGGCGATGGGCATGGGGTGTGGGCGATGGGCATGGGGTGAGGGCTTCACCCAGCCGGAGAGCATGGAGGGGCAGGGCAGGTTAGACAGCAGAGCGCACAAAACAGAGAGTAGAGAGCAGAAAGTAGCACCCCTTGGTCATGCTTTTGCCCCACTGACCCATTCCATCATGCCCTCATGCCCCCACTTACTCCCCCACCACCAGGAGGGCATATTCGCAGTGGTGGCAGCCATTATGCATCTGGGAAACGTGGACTTCATGCAGCCAGAGAGCATGGACGGGACAGGGGAGCTGCCCCCTCTGGTGGCAAAGAACGACAAGGCAGAGGCTGCAGTCAAGACCGTGGCTCGCCTGCTAGAGTAGGTGGTGGTTCGCTGTGGTGTATGTGGTAACTAGGGCCGTGCTGTCAGCACCGGTAATTGGACTGGACAGGCGAGCTGTCCCCGATGGTGGCAAAGAAAGACAAGGCAGAGGCCGCAGTTAAGACCGTGGCACGACTCCTCGAGTAGGTGGTACCTGTGGTGTAGGTGTTATCTGGGGAAGGGGTGTGCTGTACTCTGCTGCTGTCAGCAGAGCAGAGGTAGCTCTGCTGGTGACTAAGAACGACAAGGCAGAGGCTGCAGTAAAGACAGTTGCCCTTCTCCTCGACTAGGTGTTGCCTGTGTGGTGTAGGGCGTACCTGTGGTCTTGGTGTTACTAGGGTGGAGGTGGGCTGTGCTGAGCTGCTGTCAGCACAGGAGGGATGGGATGGTGGACAGGGCATTCGAGCTGCCCCCTCTGGGGACCAAGAACACTGACTCGACAAGGCAGAGGCTGCAGTCAAGACACTGACTCGCCTGCTCGAGTAGGTGGAGGGGAGGGCGTGGCTGTGGTGGGGGTGTTACGTGGGTAAGCAATGGGAATTGCTGTGCTTTCAACAGGCACGCAGCCCCTTCTGGTGGCAAAGAACGACAAGGCAGAGCAGAGGCCGATGTAAAGAGAGTGGCGCGTCTCCTCGAGTAGGTGGAGGGGAGGGCGTGGCGTGGCTGTGGTGTAGATAGTGCCTGGAAGAGAATGGGCTGTGCTTCAAGCAGGGCTAGCTTTTATCAGAGCTACTGGCTTTCACTCCTTGTCTTGTCCTCATCGCTCCTCCCCCACCCTTCTTCCCCCCATCCACTCACCCTTCGCCCATCAGGTGCGATGAGGCAGCGCTGTGGGACTCGCCTCGTCTCCCAGACGTGCAAGTTTGGCCGGGAGGTGATCAGGAGCCCGCTGGATGACAAGAATACCCTCACACCCCCTGCGTCCTCTTCTCTCCCCCTTCCCCTTCCCCCTATCAGGTGCGAAGAGGCTGTGCTGTGGGACTCCCTTGTTTCCGAGACACGCATGTTCGGCCGGGAGGTGATCAAGAGCCCTCTGGACCCCAAGAAGGCTGCTTCGTTTATTCGAGCTCCTGCCCCCCATTCCCTTGCTCCCTGCCCCCCATTCCCTTGCTCCCTGCCCCCCATTCCCTTGCTCCTGCCCCCCCATTCCCTTGCTCCCTGCCCCCCATTCCCTTGCTCCCTGCCCCCTATTCCCTTGCTCCCCTGCCCCCCATTCCCTTGCTCCCTGCCCCCCATTCCCTTGCTCCCTGCCCCCCATTCCCTTGCTCCCTGCCCCCCATTCCCTTGCTCCCTGCCCCCCATTCCCTTGCTCCCTGCCCCCCATTCCCTTGCTCCCTGCCCCCCATTCCCTTGCTCCCTGCCCCCCATTCCCTTGCTCCCTGCCCCCCATTCCCTTGCTCCCTGCCCCCCATTCCCTTGCTCCCTTCCCCCAATCAGGTGCGATGAGGTGGCTCTTTGGGACTCCCTCGTCTCTCAGACGCGCAAGTTCGGGCGAGAGGTGATCAGGAGCCCACTGGACCCCAAGAAGGCGGTCGTGAAAAGAGACACCCTTGCCAAGTTCCTCTACTCGCGCCTCTTCGACTGGTGGGTGGCCCCTCCCCTCCCCTCTCCTCCCCTATTCTCCCCTCCCATCGCCGCCTCTTCAACTAGTGAGTTCGCCACCCCAACCCTTTCTCTCATGGACTGGTGGTGGGTGTACCCTCACGAGCTCGTGAGGGCGCAAGTTCGGGCGGGAGGTGATCAGGAGCCCGCTGGACCCCAAGAAGGCGGTTGTGAAGAGAGACACCCTTGCCAAGTTCCTCTACTCGCGCCTCTTCGACTGGTGGGTGCTTCTACCCCCTCTCCCCCTCTCCCGCTCTCCCCCTCTTTCCCCTCCCCCTCTCCCACTCTCCCCCTCTTCCCCCCCCTTTTCCTCTATCAAGAGAGACACCCTCGCCAAGTTCCTCTACTCGCGCCTCTTTGACTGGTGGGTGCCCTCTCCTTTCTCCCCCGTTCTTCTATTGCTGGGCTGCCTCCCCTCTTTCCTCTCTTACCCCTCCCCCAATTCTGCATCTCCCCTCCTGCCATTCTCCTGCTTTTCGTTTACTGGTGTGCCGCCTCTCCACCCCCTCTTTTTCCTCTTCACCACCTGCCACCTTCCTTCTCTAATCCACTGCTGAATGCCTCTTCCACTGTTGAGCGCCCCTTCCACCCTCCCTCCCCTCCTTGACACGTGGAATGATTGAGCAACACTTCCCCCCTTGGTTGGTTCCCACATACAACCTCCCTATTTCCTCCACTTCCTCCGCTCCACGTACTCCCTTCCCCATCACCAGCATCGTGCCGAAGGTCAATCAGAGCATTGGCCAGTACCTTAACTAGCACGCTGGGTGGCCCCGTGTTTGAAGTAGTGTTTTGAGAGTCTCAAAACACTACTTCAAACACGAAGGTCAATCAGAGCAGAGCATTGGTCAGTACCTCAACTATCACGCTGGGTGGCCCCTTTCTTCTCTGTGCTGACAGTGCACAGAGTTTGTCACCATAATAGTCTCTTCTCCTCACTTGCGTGCCCACCCGTTGTTGCTTCCGCTCTCTGTTTATCACCATCCATCCACCAGGATTGTGTGAAAGGTCAATGAGGGCATAGGGCAGGACCCCAACCACCTTTCTTCTCCTCCCTTGCATGCCCCACCTGTTTGCTGCTTCCGCTCTCTGTCTCGCTGCCACCCTCTCTCTGCCACCCTCTCTCCGCCACTCTCTCTCGGCCATCCATCAGGATTGTGTCAAAGGTCAATCAAGGCATCGGGCAGGACCCCCAACCACATATCAGACGGGCCCTGTCTCCTCCTCACTTCCCTTGCCGCCCTTATCTCTCTGGCTCTCTGCCACTCTACCTTTCATCACCAGCATCGTGTTAAAGGTCTATGAGAGCATTGGGCAGGACCCCAACCACATATCAGACGGGCCCACCTTTGTTGCTCTCTCCGTTGACCTTTGCCGCTTTCTGTTCTCCCCACTTCTCTGCCCACCTTTGTTGCTTTCGCTCTCTGTCTGTCCGCCACTCTGCCTTTCACTGCCAGGATCGTGTCCAAGGTCAATGAGGGCATTGGGCAGGACCCCAACCACATATCAGGCGGGCCCACCTTTGTTGCTCTCTCCGTTGACCTTTGCCGCTTTCTGTTCTCCCCACTTCTCTGCCCACCTTTGTTGCTTTCGCTCTCTGTCTGTCCGCCACTCTGCCTTTCACTGCCAGGATCGTGTCCCAAGGTCAATGAGAGCATTGGGCAGGACCCCAACCATGCGTCCATCATCGGAGTCCTTGATATTTATGGCTTCGAGCACTCCAATGAGAACACGGGGCAGGACCCCAACCACCTTTCTTCTCCTCACTTGCGTGCCCACCCTTTGCTGTTTCCACTCTATGTCTCTCTGCCACCCTCTCTCTGCCCCCTCCAGGATTGTGTCAAAGGTCAATGAGAGCATAGGGCAGGACCCCAACCATGCGTCCATCATCGGAGGTGCTTGATATTTATGGCTTCGAGCACTTTAAAGTCAACAGGTGTGTGTGTGTGTGTGTGTGTGTGTGTATGCGCGCTTGTGTGCGTGTGCATGCGTGTGAGTGTGTGTGTGTGTGTGTGTGTGTATGTGGAGTCGACTCAAAACAATCCACGCGTCCGTCATTGGAGTGTGTGATATCTATGCCTTCGAGCACTTCAAAGTCAACAGGTGCTTGCACTTGCGATCCCATTGCAGGTGTGAGCACTCACGGTTTCTGAAACCTTATGTATGGTCTTACAGCTTTCGTTTGCCACTCTTTGTCTCCCTGCTTTCTTCTGTTTGGTTTCTCCACCTACTCGTCCTCCCCCCTCCTCTCCGCTGTATATCTGCTCTCTCACTCCCCCCCCCTTCTTCCCCACCCGCCTTCCCTTGCTTCTCTCCTCTTTCCCCCACCCATCCAGCTTTGAGCAACTGTGCATCAACCTCACCAACGAAAAGCTGCAGCAGCATTCAACTCGGTAAGCCACCCTCATGCACATTGCAACTACGTGTAGAAAGTAGATTTCTGAGACGTCTCAAAAATCAACTCGGTAAGCCACCCTCATGCACATTGCAACTTTCAAACGCTCTTGTCTGGGCAATACAGCAGGGGGGTGGGACAAGCTGGGGTACTTCCACGCTCCAACTCAACCTGCTTGGTACTGCGATTCTATTTCTTCATGCTTTTTTTTTATATTCGTCCTCTCCTCTTCTGCTCTGTCCTTTCGCACTACTCAACGCCCTGCCAGCCCTTATCCCTTCCCTCCTCTGCCCACTCACATGTGTTGAAGCAGCAACAGGAGGAGTACGAGGCAGAGGACATAGACTGGTTTGATTCTCCTTCTTTCCCCCACCGCAACCCCCCATTCCCAGAAGAAAGCACCTCAAGCTACCCCTCAACATCCCCCACTATCCCTCAACACCTACCCTCACTCCTTCCCACCGCAGCATGTGCTGAAGCAGCAGCAGGAGTATGAGGCAGAGGGAATAGACTGGTTTGATTCTCCCGCTTTCTCCCACCGCAACCCCCCACTCCTGGAAAAAACACCTCAAGCCACCCCTCAACATCCCCCATTACCCCTCAGCACCTACCCCCACTCCTTCCCACCACAGCATGTGTTGAAGCAGCAGCAGGAGGAGTACGAGGCAGAGGGCATAGACTGGTCTCGGATTGACTTTGTTGACAACCAAGACGTGCTCGAGCTGGTTGAAGGGGTGAGTGAGTGAGTGAGTGAGTGAGGCGAGGTGAGTGAGTGGGAAGTGAGTGAGTGGAAAGTGGTCTCGCATTGACTTTGTTGACAACCAAGACGTGCTGGAGCTGGTTGAAGGGGTGAGTGAGTGAGGAGTCATCAGCTTCTTGAGGGGCTGAGATTGTATCAAGATGTGTGGGGACTCGAAACACGTACGAGGCAGGCAGAGGGCATCGACTGGTCCCGAATCGACTTTGTTGACAACCAAGACGTGCTTGAGCTGGTTGAAGGGGTGAGGAGCCATTGCCTTATTAAGGGGCTGGGGTGGGGTTGTATCAAAATGCGTTGGCTTGAGTCGACTCGAAACACGTACGAGTCAGAGGCCACAGGGCATCGACTGGTCTCGAATCTGAGGCAGAGGCCAGAGGGCATGGAATCTTGTTGACAACCAGGACGTGCTAGAGCTGCGTGTAGAGAGGGTGTCTGGGGATTGGGTGTGGGACTGAGAGTTTTCAAAAACCAACTCTGCGAAATATGAAGCAGAGGGTACCGACTGGTCTCGAATTGACTTTGTGGACAACCAAGACGTGCTCGAGCTGGTTGAAGGGGTGAGTGAGTGAGTGAGTGAGAATGGGATGTCTCTGAGAATTCCCAAGAACCAACTCTGAGAACTCTGAGGCAGAGGGGATCAATTGGTCTCGAATTGACTTTGTTGACAACCAAGACGTGCTCGAGCTGGTTGAAGGGGTGAGTGAGTGGAGGGGGTGTCCGTCTGAGAAGCCTAAAAAACCCGACTAGTAGTACGAGGCAGAGGGCATAGACTGGTCTCGAACTGATTTTGCTGACACCAAGACGTGCTTGAGCAAATTGAAGGGGTGGATGAGGTGAGGGGTGGTTTCTTCTATGTAGTGAAGGTGAGAGACGAATTTCCTGGGGCAGGGAGGAGGAGGAGGAGGGGGGGTAAATTTTCTGGAAGAAATTGAGATCATCTGTTTCTTTTTAGCACGTTTGATGATGCATCATCTGCTTTGGATTCCTCTGTTTCGCTTGCAGCAACAGCTGGGGCGGGCTGGCTTTGCTTATGTGCATGTGATGTGATGCTTCTTGCTCTCTCTGGTGCTTGTTCGTCGAACCTTTTCATGCATGTATGTGTGCATGTGTGCATTTCGTGCACGTGTGCATGTGCCCATGTGCGCATGCGTGTCTGTGTCCATGCATGTGCATGTGTGTGTGTGTTGCCCATGTACGCATGCGTGTCTGTGTCCATGCATGTGTGCATGTGTGTGTGTGTGCCCATGTGCGCATGCGTGTCTGTGTCCATGCATGTGTGCATGTGTGTGTGTGTGCCCATGTGCGCATGCGTGTCTGTGTCCATGCATGTGTGCATGTGTGTGTGTGTGCCCATGTGCGCATGCGTGTCTGTGTCCATACATGTGTGCATGTGTGTGTGTGTGCCCATGTGCGCATGCGTGTCTGTGTCCATGCATGTGTGCATGTGTGTGTGTGTGCCCATGTGCGCATGCAGTGTCTGTGTCCATGCATTTGTGCATGTGGTGTGTGTGCCCATGTGCGCATGCGTGTCTGTGTCCATGCATGTGTGCATGTGTGTGTGTGTGCCCATGTGCACCTCCTGTGCCCCTGTACCCCTGTACCCCTGTGCCCCTGTGCCCCTGTGCCCCTGTACCCCTGTGCCCCTGTGCCCCTGTGCCCCTGTACCCCTGTGCCCCTGTGCCCCTGTACCCCTGTGCCCCTGTACCCCTGTACCCCCTGTGCCCCTGTGCCCCTGTACCCCTGTGCCCCTGTGCCCCTGTACCCCTGTGCCCCTGTACCCCTGTACCCCTGTTGCCCCTGTGCCCCTGTACCCTGTACCCCTGTGCCCTGTGCCCCTGTACCCCTGTGCCCCTGTGCCCCTGTACCCCTGTGCCCCTGTGCCCCTGTACCCCTGTGCCCCTGTGCCCCTGTACCCCTGTGCCCCTGTGCCCCTGTACCCCTGTACCCCTGGCCCCTGTGCCCCTGTACCCCTGTGCCCCTGTGCCCCTGTACCCCTGTGCCCCGTTGCCCCTGTACCCCTGTGCCCCTGTTGCCCACCCTGTGCCCCCTGTACCCCTGTGACCCTCGTGCCCCTCCTGTACCCCTGCTGCCCCTGTGCCCCTGTACCCCCTGTACCCCCTGTGCCCCTGTGCCCCTGTGCCCCCTGTACCCTGTACCCCTGTGCCCCTGTGCCCCTGTACCCCTGTGCCCACTGTACCCCTGTGCCCCTGTACCCCTGTGCCCCTGTACCCCTGTACCCCTTTGCCCCTGTGCCCCTGTACCCCTGTGCCCCTGTGCCCCTGTACCCCTGTACCCCTGTGCCCCTGTACCCCTGTACCCCTGTGCCCCTGTGCCCCTGTGCCCCTGTACCCCTGTGCCCCTGTGCCCCTGTGCCCCTGTACCCCTGTACCCCTGTGCCCCTGGCCCCTGTGCCCCTGTACCCCTGTGCCCCTGTGCCCCTGTGCCCCTGTACCCCTGTGCCCCTGTGCCCCTGTACCCCTGTGCCCCTGTACCCCTGTACCCCTGTGCCCCTGTGCCCCTGTACCCCTGTACCCCTGTTCCCCTGTGCCCCTGTACCCCTGTGCCCCTGTGCCCCTGTACCCCTGTGCCCCTGTGCCCCTGTACCCTGTGCCCCCTGTGCCCCTTACCCCTGTACCCCTGTGCCCCTGTACCCCTGTACCCCCTGTGCCCCTGTGCCCCTGTACCCCTGTGCCCCTGTACCCCTGTGCCCCCTGTGCCCCTGTGCCCCTGTACCCCTGTGCCCCTGTGCCCCTGTACCCCTGTGCCACTGTGCCCCTGTACCCCTGTACCCCTGTGCCCTGTGCCCCTGTACCCCTGTGCCCCTGTACCCCCTGTGCCCCTGTGCCCCTGTGCCCCTGTACCCCTGTACCCCTGTGCCCCTGTGCCCCTGTTACCCCTGTGCCCCTGTACCCCTGTGCCCCTGTCCCCCCTGTGTGGCCCCTGTGCCCCTGTACCCCTGTGCCCCTGTGCCCCTGTACCCCTGTGCCCCCTGTGCCCCTGTACCCCTGTAGCCCCTGTGCCCCTGTGCCCCTGTAGCCCCTGTGCCCCTGTACCCCTGTACCCCTGTACCCCTGTGCCCCTGTACCCCTGTGCCCTGTAGCCCTGTGCCCCTGTGCCCCTGTGCCCCTGTACCCCTGTACCCCTGTGCCCCTGTGCCCCTGTGCCCCTGTACCCTGTGCCCCTGTGCCCCTGTGCCCCTTACCCCTGTGCCCCTGTGCCCCTGTACCCCTGTGCCCCTGTACCCCTTTACCCCTGTGCCCCTGTGCCACTGTACCCCTGTGGCCCCTGGTGGCCCCTGTACCCCTGTGCCCCTGTACCCCTGTACCCCGGTGCCCCTGTGCCCCTGTACCCCTGTACCCCCTGTGCCCCTGTGCCCCTGTACCCTGTGTCCTGTGCCCCTTGTAGCCCCTGTGACCCCTGTGCCCCTGTACCCCTGTGCCCCTGTGCCCCCTGTAGCCCCCTGTGCCCCTGTGCCCCTGTACCCCTGTACCCCTGTGCCCCTGTGCCCCTGTACCCCTGTGCCCCTGTACCCCTGTGCCCCCTGTGCCCCTGTGCCCCTGTACCCCTGTACCCCTGTGCCCCTGTGCCCCTGTGCCCCTGTACCCCTGTGCCCCTGTGCCCCTGTGCCCCTGTACCCCTGTGCCCTGTGCCCCCTGTACCCCTGTGCCCCTGTGCCCCTGTACCCCTGTGCCCCTGTGCCCCTTGTACCCCTGTGCCCCTGTACCCCTGTGCCCCTGTTGCCCCTGTGCCCCTGTGCCCCTGTGCCCCTGTACCCCTGTGCCCCTGTGCCCCTGTACCCCTGTGCCCCTGTGCCCCTGTACCCCTGTGCCCCTGTACCCCTGTGCCCCTGTGCCCCTGTGCCCCTGTGCCCCTGTGCCCCTGTACCCCTGTGCCCCTGTGCCCCTGTACCCCTGTGCCCCTGTGCCCCTGTACCCCTGTGCCCCTGTGCCCCTGTACCCCTGTACCCCTGTGCCCCTGTGCCCCTGTACCCCTGTGCCCCTGTACCCCTGTGCCCCTGTGCCCCTGTGCCCCTGTACCCCTGTACCCCTGTGCCCCTGTGCCCCTGTGCCCCTGTACCCCTGTGCCCCTGTGCCCCTGTGCCCCTGTACCCCTGTGCCCCTGTGCCCCTGTACCCCTGTGCCCCTGTGCCCCTGTACCCCTGTGCCCCTGTGCCCCTGTACCCCTGTGCCCCTGTGCCCCTGTGCCCCTGTACCCCTGTGCCCCTGTACCCCTGTACCCCTGTGCCCCTGTGCCCCTGTACCCCTGTGCCCCTGTGCCCCTGTACCCCTGTGCCCCTGTACCCCTGTACCCCTGTGCCCCTGTGCCCCTGTACCCCTGTACCCCTGTGCCCCTGTGCCCCTGTACCCCTGTGCCCCTGTGCCCCTGTACCCCTGTGCCCCTGTGCCCCTGTACCCCTGTGCCCCTGTACCCCTGTGCCCCTGTGCCCCTGTGCCCCTGTGCCCCTGTGCCCCTGTACCCCTGTGCCCCTGTGCCCCTGTACCCCTGTGCCCCTGTGCCCCTGTACCCCTGTGCCCCTGTGCCCCTGTACCCCTGTACCCCTGTGCCCCTGTGCCCCTGTACCCCTGTGCCCCTGTACCCCTGTGCCCCTGTGCCCCTGTGCCCCTGTACCCCTGTACCCCTGTGCCCCTGTGCCCCTGTGCCCCTGTACCCCTGTGCCCCTGTGCCCCTGTGCCCCTGTACCCCTGTGCCCCTGTGCCCCTGTACCCCTGTGCCCCTGTGCCCCTGTACCCCTGTGCCCCTGTGCCCCTGTACCCCTGTGCCCCTGTACCCCTGTGCCCCTGTACCCCTGTACCCCTGTGCCCCTGTGCCCCTGTACCCCTGTGCCCCTGTACCCCTGTGCCCCTGTGCCCCTGTGCCCCTGTACCCCTGTACCCCTGTGCCCCTGTGCCCCTGTGCCCCTGTACCCCTGTGCCCCTGTGCCCCTGTGCCCCTGTACCCCTGTGCCCCTGTGCCCCTGTACCCCTG